CTTAACGAAAATTATTTTGAAAATTGTTTACGATTTTTTTTTTTAATTAAAATTATATAATGAAAACGTATTCAAGGAATACGTTATTTTAATTAATTTTTTTTTGAAAAACGTATTCAAGGAATACGTGTGTTTCATGCTTGTCCACTCCTTTTTTTCTTTTTTTTTTTTGTCCACTTAATTTCTATATTTTTTTTTAAATAAATTACCCACCTAAATTATGTCCCCGCTGTAAATACCTCACCCTTCTGTAGACTGGCACACAGCCAATAATAAATAGTAGAAAAAAAAAAGAATAATATATTCGATTTTTTCCTGTCTACACGCCATTTTTGTGTGGACGCAGTCGCCGGAGCTCTGTTTTCGTCTTCTTCTTCATCCTGTTGGATCTCAGCAAAGCAGCCAATCTCAATCCCATCTCTGTTAATTGTTAACCTTTTGTTTTTCTCGATTTGTTTTGCCATATTCGTTTGCCGTTTTTTTTTTCGATTCTTGTTTTCGCACGAAGCGAGCCTCATTGTAGTGATTGATTCCTAGCTACAGTAGGAGCTTTTGTTCTGAATTTTTGATTTGTGTAATTGTGAAGTGAAACAGTGAATTGTATAAGTTAGCTAGTTTTTTTTTTTTTGGTAGCAGAGTTTTGATCTGCAGCCTCTGGTTTAGAGAATTGTATGTTCTAATTGGTTTGGCTTGGCCCGAGCTTGAGGCTCGGGGAATGGCACGCATGGCTCGGAATATGGAATCGAGCTGCGGAGGTTCAGGCGGCAGCTATTTACAGAAATTCAGACTTTACGAAACTCGCTCGGTATAGTTGTTTGATCTCGTTGGGTTGTTGCTTGTTTGTGTGGTTTAATGTTTTTGTCCTGTTTAGATTGTGGTTGCTGTAAAATTGGAGGGCTAAATGGTTGGTTGAAGGCTTTTGTGTAGGTCTGTTGGGTATTTAAGTCCTTGTACTCTTGTTGATGGTGTAATTCTTGAATCCTCGAAAAGTAGACTTTAATCTCATAATGTGTATATTTTAGCCATAGATGTAATCATAACAAGAATTAATTTGTTTTCAGATGCTTGGATATGTTGGATTTCATGTCTCCATGTTTCATTTTCGCTGTTTATCTCTGTTTCTCCCTTTTCAATTTTGGATTTGTTATTGTTCGTCTTTGTCTTGTTTTCACGCTTTGATTTTACATTTTTGTATAAATCTGTGGAGACTAGAAAGAATGGAGAAAAGGTGATTTAAGACCTTTTTTCATCTCATTAACTAATCATTCTTGTGTGGCTTGACGTTGGAAAATTTGTATCGAATCAGACAGAATCTTACGGTCTGATTATTTACTGATTGCATCATGCTGGCCAGAGGTTAGCTCAAGCTGTAGAAAAAAAAAATTGTCAGTGAAGTAAATAAGCGATATTATAACTGCATTATGTTGAGGTCGGGCTGTGCTAGTGGTTTTCTAAGTGTAGATTGTAGAGACCTGCTAGTGGTAGATGTATCTAGAAACCTCTGTAACACATGTTCAAAAAAGGTCGAGACCGTCACGCATTTGTGCTTGTAAATGTTCTTTCATGTGCATTGAGCATTTTCTAAAATCTTATGTTCGGATCCAGCTGGATCTAGTGCGTATCAAAATCAAGTATGTGTTGCATTGACTGGACTTTAGATTCTGAAGTCGACACCTTGTCAATGTTTGGCCATGTCTGCGAGACGTACTGGACATGTTCATAAAACAGATAAAATCAAAATTTGGAAATTGTCAGGTTACATGTGCCTTATACAGTAATATATATCTTATTGTAAATTCCTAAACTTTATGAGGTTTCCCAAATGCCCCAGATCAACCAATGGTAAATAGAGGAAGGTTTACTATTATACTACGCTTCATCATGTTATTGCTATATGCTGTTACACAAAAAGATCTTTAGATAGACACCTCCCATATTCCGGGATGTATGTTGAATATGGGTTGTTCTCAACACTTGTAGTTATGTGTATTTTTGTCGCATCCTTGCTCTCTCAATCTCTCTGCACTTTTACAGTTATTCCGTGTTCCTCTTATTTCTTTTTTCCTTGAAGAAGGCATCCAATAAACTCGACTGCGATGTATTTATTGTTCCTATTTTAACATTTTCGTTATTATTGATAAGTGTATTTGTGCTCTAGAACTTCTATATGATTGGACGGGACAAGAATAGAACATGTTGGAAAGTCTTGAAGATCAACAGATTAGAGCAGTCCAAGCTAAGTGTTACTGAAGATACTGCTACATATTCACAAATTGAATGTTATGATCTGCTGAAAAGAATTCACGAAGGGAACAAGTGTACTGGTGGATTGAAGTTCGTCACCACCTGCTATGGAATTATTGGTATGTTTTTATCTTCAACATACCTACATCAGCTAATTAATTGTGTTTTAAAATATATATTTTTTCATCGTACATCCTGACTATTTTCTTTCCTTTTTTTTTAATACTTGTGACTGCAGGATTCATAAAATTTTTGGGACCTTATTACATGTTGCTTATCACTAAAAGAAAAAAGATGGGCTCAATTTGTGGGCATGAAGTATATTCTATTGCCAAAAGCGAGATGATTGCTATACCAAACCCTTCTCTGCACACAAATATGGCTTATTCTAAGAATGAGAACAGGTCTTTTGCTATTTCTATATGTAATGTAAAGTGTTACAATGAGAGTAGAGGACAGAACAAAGATTAAATATACATTTTAGTTCTCTTGTATCTTATGTCATTCGTCGAGAGCTATTTAATTTTTTATTTTGTTTTATCACTTTCATCAATCCAACTACTGGAGGTATCTTCTTACTTCCTTAGTCTTTGACAACACCCTTCAACAAAGTCAGTTGTATGAAGTTAGTGATTGTGTACATGTATATTGACGCAAAAGAGAAAATGCATCGATCATATATTTGTTGTACGTATATTAATCACCTATCTTAGTGCATCGTCGGTAGTTAAATCGTTATTAGTGCCCATGCCTTTTCCCAGAAATTGTGCAGGGCCAAACCACGTTCTGATGTTTAATTATGTTGAATGGGGCAAGGTAACAGCAGAGTTTCAGGGACATCTATCGCCTTTTGTTTTTATGTTGTATATTGCTGATTTTATTTGACAGTGATTCTGACTGGACTTGTATTCACTTGCTTTTGCCTCTCCCTTTCCTCTTATGTTGACAATTAGATACAAGAAGCTTCTGCGCAACGTGGATCTTACCAAGGATTTCTATTTTAGCTACTCCTACCATGTTATGCTTAGTCTTCAAAAGAATCTAAGCAATCACGAAACTGGATTAGTCCTCTATGAGACCATGTTTGTGTGGAATGAGTTCTTAACTCGAGGAATTCGTAATCAGCTCAAGAATTCGAGTTGGACTGTGGCATTGGTTTACGGATTCTTTAGACAGGTAATTCTAATAAAGCTTATCTAGAGGGTAAGTGCATTACTAAGCCAGTTTCTTAAGATATTATTGCTTATATTTTATTTTTGGGTTTCACCTTGTAATTATATTCTTGTCATAGTGAACTTTGAATGTTTTTGTTAGGCTCTTTTTTTTTTTTTTTTTTTTTTT